AAAACGATAGCCTAACCAACTACTATCTTAGCTATCTGAAAACTATCTTTACTGGAGTTAATTAAAAGATAGGCTATTTAATGGCTATATTCATTTTGTATAGTTAAACTCTCTACTATCTAAATACTAAATTAGTGCATGGTAGATAGCAAAAAGGTAGGCTATCTTAAAGCTATCTATTGTCCATAAAGCCATTTAATATGCTATCCAAAATCTATCTTGGAATAGATAGTGAAAAGATAGGCAATTTGAAAGCTATCCCTTTCTCGTAAAACACTTGATAACCTATCTTAAAACTCTCTTGGAAACGGGTAGTGAAAAGATAGGCACTCTTCTCAAAGTCGGCAAATAGCAATAACATCGGGTATCCTTAAAGCCGACCATTTCTGTAGCAAATTATTAGGTGTCTAGAAAACGACGACCTCTTTAAATTCGCAATTTCTTTCAACCACTAAATTCCAAACGACACTCTTCATATTTTCAAGTCGTGAAAGGAAATAAAAAACATAAAATTCAGGCCTGCCCTGTATAGTTACTATTAACTAATTGCTATCTTAAGCCTATCATATGTCTGAATGCGTATTTTGTGTGGGGACAAGCAGTGAAGTAAAAGTCATACAATTTTTGTCACCCCCGTGTTCTTAAATTTGACATATGTATTCTTCATAGCGATGTTATTCACTCAAAGATTTTTCAATTTGACGAATACTGAGAAGTTATCGTGAAAAATTCACTGCTGAATGCAGTAATGTAGATTTCTATTTGATACTACCTGCAGTGGCAGCGACATACTGAACCGGGCTAGCATGACTAACAGTCGAGGCAGGTCAAGCGTACCCCCTAAGATTCTATTAATGAATTAATTATTTGAAAAATGAATCAGTTAGTCGTTCCGGTAACTAGTGTTAAATTCAAATCGGCATTTCTGCATGCGTACTGAGTAGTGACTATTTTACGAGAACTTCTCTGTATTTGGTCAGATTAAAAATCTTCAAATGGGTTTATTTCATAGAAGACATTTCGGTCAAATTCAGGGAAACTTAGCTGGTATAAATTTTCGTAACTGAATCGCGTGTGAATTCAAGGCTCAATACCCATACAAGAATTTAGACATGAATCTGAAATCTACAACTACCAACGGATTCAACTTTCGAATAATAAATTCATTAATGTAATCTTGGGGGGTACGCTTGACTTGGGTTGACTGTAAGCCTGTACGGAGAAGTGCTGGGTGACAACAAGTGGATCCAGTTTAATATTTCTTTTCAAAACTATAGTATGATAGACTTCGCCTTCAGTTTAACTTCGTTTTCGATTTCTAGGTCGTCGTTTTCTAGATCGTCGTTTTCTAGGTCGTAGTTTTCTAGCTTGTCCTTTTCTAGGTCGTTGGTCTTCGTTTTCTAGGTCGTCGTTTTCTAGAAACCCCAAATTATTTGAACTGAAATCTATCACGGTTAGTCTGACAATAAGGGCCTGTTCACATGGAGTGGGGGACCCCGGTCTAGTGGGGTAGGTTTCTTTGGTTCAGCCCTAGAGCCTGAAAACAAAAGAAACCAACCCCACTAGACCGGCGTCCCCCACTCCATGTAAACAGGCCCTAAGATATATACTCACTTATTTTATAAGGGGCACTAAAAACTCGATTAAACAAGACTTGCACGCTTACTTTATATCAAGATAGATAGATACTTTATTATAAACACCATTGCAGCCATAGGTTGAATTACGGTATAATTTATTTACAAATACGGACGATAACAAAGACAAAATCAGAAAAATTATCTACATCTTATAGACATGGCTAAAAATAAAACTTTTCTTCAAACGCTCGGTTTTACATAGGGGGAGAGTGAAATCACTTTTGCGTCTCAGTGCATATTTACAACTCTTCCTTTGGGGGAGGAGGCTATGGAGACTGTGGGTGGGGTTACAGACGATCTCGTCAAACAGATCGATTGAAATCTTTTCTCTCCTCTCATGAAGTTTCGGTAGGCCAACTGTTTCTAGTGCTACACTATATGACAGGTCAGGATGGATGATTCTGAAAGCCCTTCTTTGGATCCGTTCCAAATCTTCACTGATATAGTTTGGTAGAGAACGATGGAATACAGGACTTGCGTATTCTAGGACGGGCCTAATACATGTCACATAGAATTGCACCAGTTCACTTGGTGCCACTCCGGATCTCTTGAGTTGACGTAAAAAAAGAGACGAGAGGAACATTTTCTAATTAGTTCAGAGGAGTGCATGTTCCACTTTAAATCGTGGCTAATGGTCACGCCTAGCAATTTGGCACTGGTGACTAATTCAAGGGGTTTGCCATTTAGGACTAGCGGTTTAAAATCTTGGTTGCTGTTGGAGAATCCAGTTCGAAGTTCTTTGCACTTGGCCTCATTCAGTTGGAACCCATCGAGACTCGCTTGTCTCGAAAGGTCTTCCAGAGCTTCTTGGAGTTTGCTCTCACTAGCCTTTGTAACTATTTCGGAACAAGATGTATCATCCACGTATTTCCACATGTCAACTGGTGTGTCCAAGTCATTAATCATGACAAGAAATAGCCAGGAGCCTAGTTTTGTTCCCTGGGGGACACCGGAAGGCACAGAGCGCCATTCAGAGTGACAATCCTGAGCAAGTTTAACTCTTTGTTTCCGGTCCATCAAGAAGTCAACAATCCAACCTTTGGCTTGACTCGGAATATCATATGTTGATAGTTTTTGAACAAGAACACTGTGATCGATAAGGTCAAAGGCCTTACGGAAATGTGATCTTCAGCGAGTTTAGACAGGATAGGCGTAAGGGAAATCGGACGGAGGTGCAGCAGGTGGTTAAACCTGTATGACTCGACTCTATATATTAGTGCTTCACAAAACCAGTGAATTCTGAAGCCACAGAATCATATCATCCACACCACAATTTCTCGATAAAGGCTTGCTTTAATTGATTATTTTTCTTTGTTCGTTGCTGTTTCCTGCATGTGTACTAGCCATTTGCGAACATTTTTTTAAAGTGCTGTGTTAAGGTGTGTGTTGGACGACTAATAGTGACAAATATAATGGAAAATTTCATCGTGAGTTGCGGCTCACCTTGCCCATGACACGATTGTACTGTTAATGCAATGATAAGTAAAAAAATAAAAAAAAGCTTAATCGATTAATTATGGAATCTAGGCAAAGTTTCTTCAATCTTGGTCGATGGAGTCTGACTCAGTTTAAGAAAGAAGGCCTACTTTTGTCATTAGAATACTCTTAATCGCCGTTTAGTGATCGCTGATAATGAGGGTGAGCCACTTTGTTCAGTGGCACCCAACGACAATTTTCGGAAAATATCTGTTCGGAAGACGATTTGCGGTCTAGAATTTTCGGAAGATTTGTTGTAAAATTTCTTGCTTGCCTGCCTCTCCTAGGATTTTCGAACATCTAAAAAACGGTATAATTGCCCATTTTTTAACGGATTTTTACCCTTAAAAAGGTGACCCAGAATTTTCGGGAGCCTTTTTTCTGGCTGAAATTTTCGAAAAGGTAAGTTTTGATCCCTATAATTTTCAGATCACTAGACTTTCACATAGGAAATCCGAACAGATGCAAAATTTCTAGGGGATAAAAATACGCTTATACCTACCGTTTAAATACTAAAATACGTTTAACAATGCTATGTTTAAGTGATGTTGAACTATCCTCTCGTTGGGTGCCCCTGTTTCTTTAGGCTGGAAATAAAAATCTTCCAATGATAACAAGAGGATCGATCGAGTTCGCAGCATTCCTTTTCAATCTACTTCGAATCTGGTTGACAGGAACGCTATACCTCTTTAACTCCACGATATCTTTGACCATTTCAGAACTATTTCGCCGCTTGCACTGTCCTTGATAATATAACTTTTCTTCTTCGCAGCCATTTTGTTACTTTTTGGTTTGATTGAGAAGTTTCACAAGTCATATCTTTCGCGAAATGAGCGCAAACAAGCAGATGTTGACTCTCTGATACGGTGTTACGTGACAACGGAAATACCGTTGACTTCACTTCATCCGGCGCAAAAGAAAATCGCTTTTCATTCTTCGGTCTTTGGGAGGCCGTTGGAAGTAGCCGTTGAAGTCGCTTATAGGTGTACCTGTGGACCGAGGTTATCAAACTGAAAGGATTTACTCACTTGTTTAAGGTTTGTATTTTATCCACCTTCTATTGCTTTAATCGATTTAGTCATAATATGGGTTCTTGCATGTTCTTTTTCTTGAACCGGGTCTTGAACTAAGCGGTTCCAACGTTCAGTGTGACATTCAGTAGGAGCCAACTCTAACATGCCCATTGACCGTCAATAGTTTAACTCATGATCAAGCTTGTCTTAAGTGATAAGAGTTATAGTTTGTTCACTTTTGAAAGTTCTATCGGTAACTTCTTCTTTGGCGCAACTATCTGAATGATAAATAGGAATTTTACCGAAGAAGATCATGTCACAATCAAGAGGTTCTATGGCTGATAATGATCGAAAAAGGGTTAAGTTAAACAGGCTTAAGCTTTATGGTTATTGTTCCATTCAGTGACTGATATATATTTTTTCTATTAGTGTATTTCATTCCTTACTTCTGGTTTCTTTACTTTTTGAATGAAAAACGATTCACGTGAGGTGAGCCTTACAGTGGAGCGGCTTCAACTTTGTGGTTTTTGACTAAGCCTTGGTGTTCGTGGAATGCGCCGCCTTTTCCGCGAAGATAAGATAAGTAAATATTTAGAAGCACGGAATTGTGTTACTGACAACAAGAAAAAGATGTTTGTGTTTGTTTTTAAACGATTAAATTGATTTTCTTTTATTGCTACAACCCATAGTTATTAGAGGAGACTGGTTATGAAAAGCGGCAAACATCAATGATAAAAACAACAGTGCTACAGTTTATGTTGGAAGCACCCTGAAAGTGCACAATCCTTTGTTTTCTGTTGGCAAATTGTTACGGAATAAATTAATGCAACGTTTTTATTGGTCAATGCAATCAAAATGATAGGAATTCTTTTGAACGTTGCGCACTTTCAGGTCTCCAAAAACATATAACAAAGGAGTCTGACGGGTTTCATAACCATTCCACTCAATTAACTATGTACAACCCCAGACAAAACGGTTGAGGCAATTCCATTTATTTTCTAACTTTTGCGCCCTACTCCCGTCTCCTCTAAACAGAAAAAGTAAGCCCCCTCACCACCCCCTATTCAAACTTGTCTTGGTCTAAATACCAACGTGTATAATTGACCCCTCCAGAAAATAACATAACATACCATAATGCTCTTTGTTTGTCACCCCAAATTTTGCATAAGCATTGTTTTGAGTTTCTCTTGGGGCTTTTTTAACTCCCAAGAGAAACTCAAGACAATGCTTATGCAAAATTTCGGGGTGACAAACAAAGAGCATTATGGTATGTTTTGGTATTTTCTGGAGTGGTCAATTGCCATGCTATCCTAAACAACTTTGGATAAGGGGGGAAATCGGGCATTTATTTGGCGGAGGTTTCAGTTTTTGCTGGGATGACAGGGAAAAAATAGGAATTTTTGGCGATTTGTATCAACAGGTTTCGTAGCTCTAGTTGTTCTTCTGTGATTAAGAGAAACGAATTTAATATAAGGGGAAACGGTTTATGGCTCATCTTGGATAGGTCCACCGGCCATATTCATATAGTTTGGGCGATAAATGAAAACAGTACTCCTCAACGGCATAATTTCATTCTTTTAATTGACACTATTATGGTTGGCACACTCTCGAACAATAACTGACGTAGCTAGCAGTGTTCTAGTTAACGTTGTTACTATAAAGTGTTAACCTTCAATATTTTAATATTGCTTCTTTGCAGGGCAAAAAGAAAAAAAAGGCAGGAGGATCAAAGCTTTCTGATGTCAAGAAGGTGCTGGTGGCGCAGACTAAAGCTGAGTTGTTATAATACTAAAGTTGTATAAAATTTTATGTTCAAGTTTGATGTGAGCTTTGAACAGTTTTTGATGGAACTTTAAAAAATGTTTAATGAAAATAGAATCCTTATCCTGGCTACAGGCAACAGTCATAATGTATTGCAATATAATGTATGACTTGCATAATAGTTAACCTTAATTGTGATCTCTTTTTCTGATCTTTTTCCTAAAGTATTTAAGCACTATGCTGCATTTTGTCTGTCTAAAGTTTATTCTAAATTACTTTTTTTGCTTTCTGATCCCTCGTGTTTGAAAATAAATTGTCACTAAGATTTTTCAACTTATCACGCATCCGTGCAACCACTATAGCTATAAAAGAACTGAGTTAAATGCCGCTGTCCAATAACTACTTTTTAGCTATGATTATAGGTCTACATTTAGTTTACTGCCATCCAAACACTACTTTTTAGCTATCAGAAATATAGTTTAAAACTATCCAAACACTAGTTTTTAGTTGTCAGACATCTAGTTTATTGCTATCCAAGCACTAGTTTTTAGTTATCAGACATCTAGTTTATTGCCATCAGAAAACTAGGTTTTAGTGTTCAGACATCTTGTTTAAAGCTATCTAAACACTATCGTTTAACTAGTTTACGTCTAGTTTATTCCTATTATTGGCCATTTTTTCATGTCAATTGCCAGTTTACTTCTATCTAATGACTAGTTTCTAGCTATGCCAATGATGTCATTATAGGCAAAAACGTATCTTAAAACTAGCTTCTTAGCCAATGAAAAGCTAGTTTTACTCTATCTTATGAATGTCCAAAAGCTAACTATTGCAACAATGTAAAAATTTCATTTTTGAGGTAGTATTAGGATATCCTATTTGCATGGTTCCAAGCTGTTCCAGATAACTAGAAATTAGTTATGATTAAGATAGGCTTAAGAGTGGTTGTCAGAGAAAACCGGGCGCAAAATGTTAAAAATGTCAACGGAAGGGGGTCAACAGAATAAGTTCATACTAACATTATAGATAGGTCTGGTGGAGTAATGGACAAATATACCAAACATAGGTTCTTCACTGCTCTTGTATTAGAGATACGAACATCGACCCATTCGGACGCCATTTTTCTAAGCAAATTTTCACCATTTTCACGGAACCCTCAATTTTTTACAAGCGAAGTTTATTTTTTGTATGCGATTCAACACAACACAGAAGTACTTTGTAAAACCATGGAATTTGTTAAGCAGCCACGGGCAAGACTAAAATGTCTTATTTTATCTGATCTAAACGAGCCAAAAATCGGGTATTTTTGAATTGATCTAGCGCGCACAACGAAAACGAGAGAACAACTCTGTTAGCCAAATTGCAGTCTACTATCATCTATGTAACCAAAAACCTAATAATCATCTTGGGCTATTGAAACAGGAAGAAACTAGAAAACTCACATTTGTTATAGTTTCCAAGCTTTTTCTTGCAAACAGACGATCCGTTCGTGTTTAAATCTTCTTCGTGAATTTTCTTTCACATTTCGCTGTAAAGTATGTTCAGCAGCTGGAAGACATTTCAAAAAGCTCAAAGTACTGCCTAGGTTACATTTTTAAAGGGCAAAAAGGGCTGGACGATAGGAACTAGAAATAACAAAACGACGCCATCTTCAAATCGCCATCTTCTTCGCCAAATTCAGAACTCAGGAGGGACTGGCACTAGTACGTGCGTTCGATATCTAACGCAGGGACAAAAATTGCAAAAATTTCACGACTCCATTCTCTCGCAATTCCCAAAAGAGACTTGAGCACATAGAAAACCAAACCTAATATAGAAATGTAACCAGAAAGCCTCGGATTCATTTTAGAATTAATCTTTATCGAACGTGGGCAGGAGCCCTTTCCCCGGAGAGTCTAACTTCCATACTGCGCCTCTGCAACGGCGTTTTCATAAGAGGTTTATTTTTAGATAAGCCTTTCCCGCGAATTGCTTTCGAAAAGCCAATCACAAGCAAGCGCGTCATCAATAATAAACTTTTAATACGTAACCAGAACAACTCCTTCACATTGAAAAAAAAGCGTGGCGGACGCACGCGAGGAACCTTCAGAGAATTCTTCTGACAGTACGTCAGCGACAATTTCAGTATTTACACGGAAACTAGCAGTTCGGAGGAAGATCTGCAAAACGGAGAAGAGCCCGGGACGTCTTCTTCGTCGGCGACAACGCATTATTCACGGAAAGGGAAATCAAAGTCATCTTCGAAACAGCCGACTGTGGAAAGGTCTAAGCGACAACAGTCATTTTTCGCGGGAAAAGCTTATCTAAAAATAAACTCACTTGTAAAAACGCCGTTGCACTAATTTCTGGCAGTTGCACGCTCCGGGTTATGGGCTCCTGACGTGGGCTATCAAAAAATACGTACTATTACCAATAAGGTAAAAAACAAAAAGCAAACAAACCGGCTTTTTTATCAGCGACCTACTCCAGTCTTATTTGTTCTTCAGTTACTTCTTTTAGTTGAATTTAGCTTGTTTTTCTTTTAAACGGAAAAACGAAAAGAACGCCTGATCGCAGGTAAATCGGTGATTAACTAGCATAGCTTTATTCGCTCCTCATTTTGAGGTGCTCCCTGAATGTACATAATATTAAATATAGACCAGTAGGTGAACTACTCAAATCCTGAGTGCCTGGGTGTTTAATACAAGCCTGTTTCGTAGGCCACCGAAAAGGTGACCCACTCTTCGGTTAAACTCCATTATAACACTGAAGCGTCAGGGTCTACATCAAGAAAAGTGATCGCGTGATAAAAACGGTTACGTATAACGTTTGAAATTTAGTTTTTTAAGAAATTTTAGAAAGAAAAGCGCGCACTTGCTCTCAATCGCCTACAACTCTTAAACGAAACCTACGTCACACGAAAGCTCGCGCTACAATCGCTGGCTTTCACATGTTCGATTGTACCTTAGGATAAACTTGCGTCGATGTCTGCATGTAGAGACAAGTTCGTTGCGCTTGTTCAGTGTTGCCATGTGAGGCCTACATATTAAAAAGAACTTCTCTGTTGTACATAGATTGCAACGTTTTGTAAGGTTGGTGTAAGATTTCGCTTTGGCAAGTATTTTCCACGCGATATTGAATTCCTTATTTGCCTCCTTTAGCTGCCACAGGTGCTTGCTCAGCTCAGCCTCATTCCGTCTCTTTTCATGTCTAAATGACATCAGGTGGTTTCTGTATCTTGCCTTGAACTGAGTAACTGTGAGACCGATGTATGTCTCTTTTTTGTCTCCGGTTGTGACTGTGGCTTGGTACACGACGACACTCACCAGACATTCTCCGTTTAGCGGGCAGTCTTCTTTTTTCGTACAGCTACACGTGTTCCATTCGTTTTTCTGTGGCTGCGCTGTTTCTGCTATATTCAGGATGGCTTTTTTGTGGCCATCTATTATTTGCTTGACGTTGGGCATGCAGCTGCAGCGGAGCTTTATGGTGTTCCTGTTGAAAATTTTCCTCAGTTTGTGGCCCGCTGGGAAATATCTTTCAATGAGGCTGATGAACGCACGTCCGATGTTGGTTTTGACGCTTTTGTTATATGGTGGATTAAACAATATGACATTTCTTTGTCGTTTGCGTTTCTGTGATGGTGGTTGCTGTGGTGATGGCTTGAATTCTAGTTTAAAAGCATAGCCACTCTTTCGTAATGCTTCCTGATACGGAGCCGATGCTTCATTAAAAACCTCGTGGTCGGAAGAAACGCTGGATAGCCGCCGGTTAATTGCTGCGGGTATGTTTCTGAGGATGTTGGGTGGGTGGTTTGATTGGCTGTGAACGTAAAGCGAGGTAGTGGATAGTTTGGAGTATGATTTGAATTTTCCGGTGTTTAAATCCAGTGTTACATCTAGGAAGTTAACAACTTTCATGTTTGCATCAACTGTGATTTTTAGGTTGTTGTTCGCAAATATTGGCATATTTGTTTTTTGCTTTCTCTATCTGCCTTTGTGTTTGATTGAGTACGGCAAGCCCGTCGTCTCTGTAAAGGCCGATTTCGATGCCAGGGATCTGCTTTAGCTGCGACAGGAGATAACAACCCACCAATTCACAAGTCTCCACTCCGTTGTAGCTTCCCATGGTTACGTCAAAATTTGATGTTGAATTTCTCTTTTCCCATGGTTAGCCTTTGCTGAATAGCAGGGAGTGCTTGGAATTGATGACTGTTTGTCATTCGTTGGCTGAGATGTTCACGTGTTCAGAGGCGAAGTCAAGGGCCCGTTTTAGGAGGGCTTCGGTAATTGAGGGGTAAAAACGTCAAACGTCAAACCATATAAATGCCTAGTCGCCTTTATTAGCCAGCTGCTTGAACCATGAATGAAGTATCAGCTCCGTTTAAATATGCGACACGTCTTTTACCATCTCTGATATACATCCTTATAGAACTTATTATATGTTAAGTTTTTGTTGACTGGATTATAGGTGATTATTCTTGGTTCAAGAGTAAAACTATATTGGATTTAGTCAGATCAAGTTGATAATTGGTTTTCAATGTTATTGTTACTTTGAATATCGTCTCATCAAATAGAAGAGTGATGGGGTACTCATCATCTGTACCAGGTGATTTTACAACTGCTTTTTGTTTGATGTATTAATCAAAATCACGACTATAACTCCATACACCTGATGAAAATGTAATGTCTGCGAATGTTTTGCCATTGTCTTTCTGTACTTTATCAATTGATTATTGTGTCCAGCATTTATAATATATAGATTTAGCCAGGGCTAAATGCGAAGCTCTGGTTAATGATACGCGTAAACAAAAAAAAATTAAAACATGTAATGCTAAACGCGGACGACAATGAATATGGCTTCAAGACTAATAGATGCAATTAGCAAAAAAAAAAAAAACAAAAAACAAATTGCACGTGCAGCACACTTTTTCTTCTAATTTCCCTTGTTGTTGTTTTGCACGACTACAACGCTGTTTTGTACGGCTAAAACGTCAAGCTTCCTAGTTACGACAATTCCTCCATGAAAATAATGTGTATGTGCTTACCCAATATTTTGTCTCCTGTGTTCATGTTCGCTTTTATTTTTCATTGCCGCTCATTTTCACGTTGCTGGTCGCTAGCATTACTCATTTTCTCACCGCCGCTTTGAATTCCATGTTTTTCTTCCTAAGAAATTCGTTTCCTTTGTTTTCAATAGCTCGCTCTAGCTCTTTCTCTGTTGTCCACGTTAATGTCAACATAAAAAATAACGCCGAAAAAGACACGACTATGTTGTTGTTTTTCTTCTAAATAAAACCTTGAGTCGCATTTGGGTTTCAATACCTGTTGATTGAGTTATTTTACATTGATATGCCTGTGGTGCGGACGGACGGTCGCTTGCTCGCTCGGTGTACGGTCACGTGATTACCAAATTTTCTTGGATGGGTAGTTTACCACATTTTCTTACCCATGGTGCTCCGCTGCGCGCTTCGTGCGCGAGAGCTCCGCTGTTAAACCAAGTGAAACTCATGTTCATGATTCGATTTAAGGTGGCTCGACTCAGTATTTTTATAGGCACAACATCCATATTTGAATCTCTTATACTTTTAATAAACAAATCGATCTGTATTGAAAAAAAATTATGATACATGGATTACACTTAGACTAAACTTTAAAATGGTATAGTTTGTTGGGCGATCGGAATAAATGTCACGTGATAATGACGTCACGATAGTTTTAGCTCTAAATTGAATTTCAGCCCTGCTCGACATTTTCTTTTGAAATACTTTACGCTACGTATTTCTTTGGATAAATGTCTTTTGCTGTGCAAAATTTCACAAAAATCTATAAGAGGAATTTCGAGCGTTTCTGTAAAAGGGTGTAAATTATACATTAGAGCAAAACCTTTTTTTGTTTGTTTGTTTGTTTGTTTTTGTTTTTTTTTCCAGTAATTTTGATAGCATGATACTCACCAGCACATTTGCCTCCAATGTTTTCCATGTCCTCCTTGCAAACGCACCCTTCTCCAAGACCAGTGATATTCCATTCACCATTGCTTTCACAAAGAACATTCAAACTGTTCGAAACTGGTACAGAGTTGGCACTACATTCTCCTAAAACTGAAATCGATTCACGGTCATTTGATGGTGTTAAAGTTCGCGGCACAAAGACCAAGGTCCTCCTGAGCGTTGTTTGAGGGCAAACATTGTAGGTGACCTTGACGGAATTTAATGTTTTACAGCCACCTTGATCCCGAAATCCAAGCACAAAGTATGTTCTTGATAAGACAAGTGGCACTGTCGAAACCGTAAAACCACTGGACTGACGGTTGAATGAAGCGAATCTTCTGTACGAACCGTTGCTGTTTATGGGGTGCGGTATTTTGTCACGTACGACATTTGATTGGGATTCCCATACATAAGCATCAAAGTACTCTTTACAATACAGTGCAGACGGAAGACACTGAGTTATAGAGTGCTCTACAGTGACGTCTACTCTGTTAACTTCTCTTACTTGAATGAGATCGCTAAGTAGCCAATTATTTGGTTCAAATGGAGATTTGTAATACGAAGAACCATCAGGTTTTAGAATATTGCACACAGTATACTTTGATAGTGCATTCATATCACCAGGTACGGTTGGGTGGTCCCACTAAAACAGACAAAAAGGGAAGAAAGAAAGATATAAAACAATATTAAATTTCTGGCAAAAAGAAACGCGTGCAGTGTGTTTAAGCTTGATAACGGCGTGGTCCTATAGATGAAAAGAAACGCAGAGCCGTACTAAGACGTGGGAAGAGAACTTAAGTAACACTCTCAACTTGCGAGCAAGTGGTCTTTCTTCCCTTGATCGCAGGTTATAACACCCTATGTTTGTGGCAATTCGTTGCCATTAAAGAAAGTGGAATAGTTATATCAAAAGTAAGGCCTATAGCAAGCTGAACTCCTCCTTTCATGCATAATTCTTCCTGTGAGTAAACGCAAAAAATAAATAAATAAATAAATAAATAAATAAAAAGAATAAGTGGAATAAAATAAAATAAAATAAATGAATAAATAAAAATAGCATGTCCGATAAGTTAATAGTCTCCTTCGCAGCCGTATTTAGGCTCGTTACGCAACGCTCCTCCCCACAAACAAAGGGAAAGGAATGTGGTTCGAAAGAAAGCAGCCGTTTGTGGGGAGGAGTTGCGTGACGAGCCTAAAAACGGCTGCGAGGGAGACTAATAAGTTAAACATTCTTAAAAAAAAAAAAATCTTAAATTCCGTTTTCAGCTTATTGCCTATAAAGCTAGATTTCCAACTATAAACCTGTCTAAAAAGTCATCGGCGTGTCGAGAGATTGGGTAAGATAGGGCATATATAAATGACAATGAGAGAATAAAAAAAATATATAAAAATTTAAAAAAAAGCAACAAACAATCAAAACATAACAAATAAACGAAAAACAAAAAACAAAACAAAACTCTTCAGCAATCTTTTAGAAGGAGACGATTTTTCGACTTGAGAACACCAAGGTATGGGCATGGGGGACTCAATGGAAGGAAATTCGACCTAGAAATCTAAACCTCGAAATCAGACAATTCCTGTGTGTTATCACTGTTGATTATTTCATAAAACTGCGGTGATCCTTATTCCCCCCAATCCCCCTCCCTTTCACCAAACCCTTTCGGCGCCTGGGCTAAGGCTAGGTAAGATGTGGGAACAAAATGGCTTATACACCTACCCCGACAATTGGGCATTGACTGCATGTAACATAGTAACGCATCCAAGCCCACCTGCATGGGTAAGGAGGTCTAACAGTGGAGACGAATTAGCCTCCCCGCAGACGTCCTTTGGAGTTCGTTGGTCACGCATTCATTTCTCCTACACGGACGTCTGCTAAACACAGCCGACATTTTCGTTCACCAATCACAGGCCGTTTACGGATTTTTGTAAAACGTAACCCGAGCCGCTTCTTAAGATTCGCACGATCAGTAAGACTTTTGATCAAGTGTGCGAGAAATTTGTAATTAATACAGAGTTAAACAAGCATCAGAGAGAAGTTATCCAGCAAATTTTAGAGCGAAGACCGATGAGTTCATAAATTTGCCGACGGGATTTGGCCAATCCCTTATGTATCAAGCTTTGCTGCTTGTTTGCGACACAGTGCGTGGAACTACTGGACATTATTGTTGTTGTTGTTTCTCCCCTGGTAAATCTTGAAAGATCAATCTACAAAGCTCGAAAATATTGGTATTCCTGCTGTAACGCTCAGTGATATTAGCAAACAGAATATAAGGGTTGTCGAGAGAGGGACTTTCTCTGTTGTTTACGGAAGCCCAGAAGCTTGGTTGAAGATAACCTGAGATCACGCCTTTTTTTTTTTTTTTTTTTTTTTTTTCGCTTCTTTTTGTTTCTTTGGCCCGAGACAGGCAAAAAGTAACGCCTGATACATTCATTTAACGAGCCGTTAACCACCCCCTAATTTACATAATCTAACGTCTCCTTGACCTGTCATGTTATTAGCCAATAAGCGTTTTTAGGAGCCCATCAAATGGAGCCTCCATCTCCATTAATTTCTTGAGTCAACCCTTTCCCGAGTAGATTTATAAATAGAACGGCTTGTTTCCCGCGAAAAGTGTCATATTTCCGTGAGTCTAGTATGTCACCGTGAAAAAAATGAAGTTGGATGAATACAACAATTTTACAGCTGCTGGGATCTGGGTATCATGAAATAAAAGTTAATGAATTACCCGACTGAGACTGAGCATGAAGCGATGGGACAAAGGCAGCGAACTGAGGGTCAAGGAAAGGTTATCATTGCAAGTGTGTGTGTGTGTGTGTTTTTTGTTTTTTTTTTTTTGTTTTTTTTTTGCCGCTTTACATCCCACATTTAAGCATGTACCTTGAAAAGAGTCGATGATTAAGCGTTCTGTGGACGATTTGGAACTTTTCGATGATCAGCGCCGAAAAAGTGCCAGGATCATTTTTGATTTTTGTCATCACCGTGGAGTGGATTTCGTCAGTTAAGCACCGCATGCAAAAGCGATGACCTAAGTAGCAACTAACGAGGGATGCTTCAGTTCCGAAATTTGCGAAATTGCAGTCTTCCTTTACAACTGACTTGTATCACCATGAGAGTTGCCTGTGGCACTTGAAAAGTTGAACGGAAGAAAACAGTTGCTCTACCGTGAATAATTTGCTAACGGAGGAATTTGTGACATCGCGCTCTAGTCCAAAGACCCACTTATCTCAAGAAAAATAAAATGGATTGTATCTGCGCCAAAAGAATTATGACTGACTAACAGGACAATTTTCAGCAGTTAATGCAGAAGTTTAGGCTTAATTCTTTCCTCCGAATTCGCATCTGTGGATCACTTTTTTGCCAGAAAACAACGGCTGGGCCCGGCGTTACAAAATATAGCAGGGAATCATCGCACTAGCTGACGGACAAAACAACCACAAGGACTACAAGTATTTTTTTAGATAAACGCATTTCGGAAAAAAAAGGCTTGAAAAACTAGAAATTTGATTAATATTGAGTCATTACAGTCATTTAGCCGAAATAAGAACCTTAACGCTCAAAACAATTGACTAAAGAAAACGAATCCTGTCGGAACTACAGACTGCAGGTAGTAGTTAATCATTATGCATGTAACAGACCAGCTTCATGGCCTCTAAGGAGACAAGCAACCGAAATGAAGATTAACATTGTCAGAGTGTAAAACTCTCCACAGTATAATCTACCCACTAGAAAGAAAAGAAAGAAAATCTCTGAGAGATAAAAACGCTAAAGTCACGTTTCACTAGCTTATGATTGTGTTTGGCCTGTCAACACCGAATTTCCTGCTGTTCGATGATTGTGATAGGTTCTTCCCACCGTCGGCGCGCGAAGTCTCCCCTGGGAACCGTTCTAATTATAAATCTACTGGGGAAAGGGTTGACTCTAAGGGCATGTATGGGAGGTGGAGGCTCCATTTGACGGGCTCCTGGCGTTTATAGGAGCCCATCAAATTTGATGGGCTCCTGGCGTTTACCATACGGGAATCAAATTTTGGCGCGAATAATGTCTCTTTTAAAATCAATTTTAGGAAAAAGAAAATTTTCAAGTACGTCCATGTTCAGATGGCGCTTCCTAAAAAGAATTTTAAAGGTGTTCAAATACTGCTAGCTGGAGCTGCCATACCTTTATTTAAGAGCTACAAATAATGAAGAATTTACTGGTTAAAGCTCGTTGACTTCGTTCTGTGCCGAAAGCAGTGAAAAGAAAATTAGGCTGAAGCACCATATTTTACTAACTGAAAGGTGTTGTGAAAGCGAAGATCGCTCAGAATAATTCGCAGGTTTCTGAAGGGGGAATTACAGTCAAACCAGGTCAAGATTCCATTCATGAATTGATTATTTGAAAAGTGAACCCGTTTGTCGCTTCTGTAACTTGTAGCCGGTATCAAATTGCATTCAAATGATCGGTGAATTTTTGACTGCAACTTTTTAGTATACGATGAGATGGAAAATATTTCAATGGGTGAAATTTCTATTTAGGCATTCTTCAAATTCAAGAAAACTGAGCCGGCAGAAATGTTATAACGAACTCGCGTGTGTATAACGGCTTGGAAACTAAAATTTGATAGCATTTTGTTTTGAATAAGGGTATGGGCATGATTTTCAGTTGAACATGCCTAGCGAGCGTAAAAATCGCATCCAGTCTGAGGACTAATGAGAGAGGGAAAATTTTATATATTTAGGCATGACAAAATTCAAGGGAACATTGGTACTTAGAAATAACATCTCATAGGCATGGAAAAAATGGGTTCATGCCCTCGCAGCCCAAAATTGATCCAGCTAAACTTAGGTCCCAGATCTCTCTCCGGGTTGATAATTCATTCCCAGTTTTTGCTCCTCTGGTTTGGCATGCCGGGCATGCCGATCGTGAAGCCACTTGGTTTGGCATGGCCGTCATGCCGGGCATGAAATTGGCATGCCCAGCGAGACTGATTTTGATGTTCGCTTCAGCATCATATCCTGAGAATCACATATAATCGTCAAATATATCTTAGGGAGCTTGAAGTTACAGGTTTCATGCCTGGCAATAAATGCAGATTATAACAAAAAAAAAAGTCATGTTTGTCACAATGTGTGTCACGGGATCGACTGGCAAAACCTGCAAAACTGAACACAGAAGCCTGGATTTATAAATAAAAAGCACAACAAAACAACATTATTCATGCATAAAATAGAATACTTAACTTGCAATCAAAGATTAATCCTTTTATTTCAAACCGATACTGACATTTCTGGGTCCAGATTTAAATTTGATCGTGGAAAAGCGTCTTAAACAATAAGATAACAAATCTTCTCTGTATAAACTTATCCATGCTTAAGTTTTATCGCGTCGGAATGTTTCCCGGTCAACAGCATTAAAAGACTGGTGAAAATTAAGCTTACCAGGCCGTTCAAGTCAGTACGAGAGTACGACGTTAATACTGCAAAGACGTTTTGATTTGGTGAATTTGGACTGCCTTCTCAGAGAGATTTTGCTTAGTTTTTCAGTGCTCTTCTTGTCGGCTATGCGAATCTCGCAAACTGTTTTACTCCTTGCTGACGATAGTCCTTTGAGCAACGTCATCTGCGTCATCCGAAGAT